ACTTTTGCAGTTTCTCAAGCCCTCAATACAAGTAGGTATGTTATTAAAGAAATATTTTTTCTTTTTTGCTACAATAGTATACTTATTTGTATTCCTATGTATGTACATACATAAGTATAAGCAAGTTGAAATAATTTTGCTTTTTATAAGCGGCAAAAGGTGTCTCTGTTGGCAGGGGTTAATAGTCAGAGGAGGGGCGCATGTATGTTGTGCTAGACTTATGTATGCGTATATTCATATGTAAGTATGTATGTATGTATATTTATATGTATGTATGCGTGTACATATATATAATTTTCGGCTCCGTAATTTTCATATGTGTTCTTTTAATTTAGTTTCTTGTCTAAAAATGTGTACTTTCTCTTCTTCTGAAAATTTGCATTCTTAATTTTTACGCACTTTTTTATATTTTAGTTTTCCTAAAAAGATTTTTTCATGCTCTTATAGCATATTGTAATGTATAATTTTGTTTTTTCTTTTTTTGTTACATTAAATATGTCTGTTTGTGTTAACTTTTTGTCTCACTACCTTATAAAATACGTACTATGTATGTATGTATGTATGTATGTACTATGTAAGGGTATATATTGTTGTTATAAAACTTGTAATTGTTAATTTTTACATTTTAAACATACATAAGTTTTTAACTCCGAAAAAAGAGTAAATGTTTCCAAAAAAAAAAAAACAACTCAAACAAGATATTAAATATAGAAAAAGCAGAAAATATTGTTTGCTCATATTACATATATGTAAATACATATGTATGTAGGTAGTTGATAAATGAATATAGTTCAAAAAAAAGAAGAAATAAGCCTAAAGTGCACATTTTAAACTTACAAATACTCGTATATGCCAAAGTGCCGAAAAAGTTAGTTTTCTTTTCACTTAAAATATTTATTCGTACATATTTACATATGAATGTCTGTATGTTATTTGCTTATATTTGATAGCCGAAAGCTCTATATAAAATCAAAGTCTAACTGTGCATGTGGGCATCTGTTTGGATGTGTGTGTGTGTGTGTGTTTGTGGGGGGAGGTATATTTATAAACCCACTGGGAAAATAGGTAAGCACCTTACGAGGTAAGCCATGTTTTCTTTCAGTTTTTAGTACCAAAATTGTCATCATGGCCAATGTCATCTACTAGTAAAGCACAAAATGAATACCTCCAACGACACATTACGTTGTCAGTTGCAAAGTAACGTGCAGCCGAAGTTATCTCCAAGCGCCGAACTACTCCGAGCGACTTCTCTGCATTACACGTAACTTACTTTGTAAAGCGGCTCAGAAGTATGTCTGATACCAAATGTACATTCTAAATTCCTAATTACATAAGGCGGCCATGCCTTTGTAAAAGTAAGGGACGTTCGGCAGGGAAATGGCAATGACTGCCAGGTGAAGAGTAAGTTGCTAATAAGGTATTATTACGTGCTCCTAATTCCCACTGGGAAATAACACATATATGCACATACATATATTACGTATACGCACTGTAAACCGTTAAGCTTGGATATCGTCGCTTGGCGCGCAATACCTCGTATCCGCCAAATGCAATACCACGTATGACGTGGCACAGAAAGAAATTAGTTTTGGTTACCCCTTCTCAATTTGCAATTTTGTGAAATTTTCGGACTGCTTCATACGTGGTATTGCATTTGGCGGATACGAGTCATTGCACGCCAAGCGACGATATGTATGTACGTTCTTGTACATATACATATCGAGCCCTAACCGCCAAAATAACGTAAGCGACATTTTTTTCAAAATTTTCTTTTTGATGCAGAAATATTCCTCGATTATCTAGATACATTTCTGCATCAAAAAGAAAATTTTGAAAAAAATGTCGCTTACGTTATTTTGGCGATTAGGGCTCGATATGTATTACTGTACTCGCATATTGCGCCGGTGTGTGTGTGTGTCTTTGTGTGGTGTTCTGCCTTAAAACTCGAAAATAAACTCGCATTTGCTCGCTTGAACTACTAATAGAAAGTAAAAACAAAATAAACAATCTAGAAAACACAGAATTTCATGCATGCGCGCATGTGTGTTTTGTTTTCTTTTTTTTTCATACAAATTGTATATACTTTAAAATTATACATATCTACATATGTATGCATGTGCACATATATGTATATGCACGTTTCTACTGTATATATATATATATATACATATATATAAGTGCTCTAATATTAAACTTTTTTCCTTTTCAATGCCTCTGATTTTATATTTTTTTTTTGTTAGATTTTTCCACCTCTTCCTAAACTTATTTATTAGCATTTTCATCTTGCTTCTCTATGCATTAATTATATTTTGTTTTTCTTCGGTTTAGTTCATATATTTTATAAATATCGTTAAGATCACAGATATTCTCTATGCAATAATTTTTCTGTTTGCCTTTTTCAAATAATTTGTAACCCATTTTCTTCTCAAAAGTCTCAAAAGACCTCTTTTCAGCGCCAAATACTCAACTTTTTCGCTCTAACTCTTCTACTCTAACCCTTTTTCCTTCAACTACGATATTTCTCAGTGTCTTTTTCGCTGCCAACTCCTGTCGCCTCTGTTACTTAAGTAAGTCTTAAACAAATTTGTGTGTGCTTTTAAGAGATTTATAGCCATATTTTCCCTCAAAAATTTCCAGGGTTCTCTTCTAAATTTCTACAGTTTTATCTCACGCCTTATCAAGCTATTCATTTCAATATGCATTCGAATTTACTTTGCTTTTAATTATTTTTTATTCCTTAGAGTCCTTTAGCGTGTCGTAGTAATTTAGGTTGGTATGCCCAAGCATCTATTTTTTCTCGGTTGTATATGTATAAAGTATATATGCATATACATACATATTCATAATGAAGTATAATAATAGATTTTTAGTATTATAATTTTTGTGTCTTATTTTTTAAATGATAAAAAGGATATTATACTTCAAAATTTTACTCGCTTTTACCTTTTGGGCGCAAACTACGGTTCTACGTATTTAATTAACTCAAAAGTAGACAATTCTACCAAAAAATGTCGGTGAAAACTTGAAGTATTGTTATCGAAAATGATGTGATCAAGGGTATTGTCTAAACTAAAGCCGCAAAGCTTGCTACGAAAAGTTTTTGTTTGTTGGATAGTTCATTAAAATGTTGATAAAAAAATAGGCGTTTAGGCGCAGGTCTATTTGGTGCGGTATTATCTGGGTTGATATTAATTATATGCATTTATGTTGGTATATTTAACTAATGGTCTTATGGAGATAACTATTAAGATTGTTGTAATTGTAAAATATTTTGATTTTATTGTTAAATACCCGATTGCCAAGCGACAGACGAGAGTATGTGAAGTAAAAGAAGCGTGTGCGAAGGAAACCTTGCAAAAAATTAATAAAAAGCTTGTAAAAGCTCTTGAATTTTAAAGTTGGCTATGCAAGCGGTTTAACGGCGCTCGAAAAGCTTCCAAAAAAGGGAACAAATTACGGAAAGATTGCCTAGTACAGCATTAAAAAAGTTTTGTGTGCGTCAGGTCTTTAAGAAGAGGTGGCCAGGGAGAGCTTTTACTCTGCACGCGTCAATTGAAAAAGCACAGAAAAACATGCAGGCTTGCAAAGCGACTACAATTTGATGAAAGTTTTGAAACCAAAAAAGCCAATAAAAGCTAGAATAAAAGCTTTTGAAAACAAGCAAAGTTTTTCAACTCGACTCAAAACTAAATTCATATGTATATGTAAGTAACTAGAAAGTTTGAAGGGAGATCGCCAAATTTACACTAAGTTAAGCCTTAACCCTTAATTATAAAAAAATTAAAAAGCTGTTACCAGTTCGATCTAAAATGGTGTTAAATCTGTGGCAAAGAAATATACTTTAAACTCTAATCTTATACCTTCAAGGCGGTTAAGTGTGCCACCATGCATATTTTTTGTTTTTTGAGAATTTAAGATTTAAGCTTTGTGTGCTTTCCATACATTTTATATAGACGTGCAAATAGGTAAAGGAATCTCTGTCCATTATTTAAAGCACCTTGCTCGTATGCAGAGCTTTTATAAGCTTCCCATACATTTCGACTAGGAAAAGCTTTCTTTTGGAAACAAGTTGTTCGATTTAGAGTAGTAACCGGCATCGTTTTGCCCGTGGGTAGAGCTTTTTTGAGCTTTCTGTACACGTGTGCAGAGTAAAAGCTCTCTTTGACCATCGCTGATAAAGAGGATAATTGGGTTTAAACTCTTTGAAAAGCTTGCATAAAAAGCCCATACAAGTTCTTAAATCTTGAAACATTTTGTGATCTTGTGCACATTCAGATTTAAGATTATGGAAATCTGAAAAGTTTACGATGACCACAAAACAGCTATGGGTTTGAGGTAAGAGATGTTTTTGTGGTTTTTGATCTATTCAGAACTTCAATAGCTTTTATCTTGCGCTTTGATTTAAACTTTGAGCTTTTGAAAAGTTCGCTTTGTAAATCTTTCTGCAGATTTGGCATAGCCGAACACAGTGAAATAGCTCTCTTTGGTCACCGGTGTATATCAACGAGCCAGTAATGACCAAAACATAATATGTGAAGGAACATTTTTAAAGCTTTCTGTAGGTTCAACATAAGTTAACGCAGGGTAAAAGCTCCGACTGGTCGTTGCGGACATATGCATACATAGAACGAGGGCAAAATTTTTGTAAGATATCTGTATATTTGATATAAGCGTATTTTGGGCAAAAACTTTTTCTCCGGTCGTCGGAGATATAGCGGAAACAACGCTCGCTGATATTGTAAACTGACTCGCAACAATAGCTTTGAAGGACACTGAAGTAAAGAGCAGAGAGAGCTTTAAGCATTTGTGTAACTATAACATTATTTAAAGAGCTGAAAAAAGCTGTCGCAAAAGCGTAAAACCTGCATCTCTTTTACATACAACTCAGCTACACTTGGCAAATAATTTACAGGAGTTACTAAGGCTTTAAACACAAATACAAATATGGCTTAGTTTCTATATACTCGCATATAAATCTAACTATTAAAAAGTCAACTGTTTTGTTATGTTCACGTCCTTATGCACGCTCTTCCAATATGAGCTTTTACTATTGAAATTTATATGTGCTATTATTTTGTTGATAATTTGAGAGTTTGTGATTTGTGTAAAATTTGCATTGATTTTCCTTTTTTCTAGTTTGTAAGTTTGTAGTTTATTAGCACCAATTGGTTATTCTATTGTAATTGTGTTTGTTGTGTTATTGATGTTCTTTCAAAAAATAAAAAATAAAAATAGAATTGAAAAAAAATATTTTGCTCATTTAAAGTATACATACACACTTTCAATAATCATTTTACTTTGATATTTGTATTACAAGGGTTTTTGCAACAAAGAAAAATTAAACAGAAATCGTTAACAAATCGGAGAAAATACATAACTGCAAATACTAATGATCGATTTTGCTGCTGGGAAAGCTTCAAGTGATTTTTTTTGAAAGTTAATAAATACAATATAAAACTATGTGCATGCGCTTTAGCTTTCATAACTTTTATCTGAAATAGGTGCACATACTATAACTAGATGGGCATTTAAAAGTGACCTGTGCTTAGACATGTCGTATGTCTTTTTACAGGTTTACTATCCTTAAAAGTTCACTAGTAAGTATGTGTGTATGTATGTCTGTGTATATTTTTTATATAAAAACGGATCACATGAGATCTTGCAAACGCCATCAATAGCGCTGCAGCTAACCGGTTACCTATAAAAAAAATATGTATGTATACACAACATTTGTGTAGGTTTGTAACAAAAACCATACGATGCACATTACCTATTTTCGTTAACTGTACTAAATGTATAAGGAAAGAAAACGTAATGCGTACACTTAAGCATCCTGACACTGAGAGACTTCTGTGCCAATCGCTGCGCTAACTGCGTTTAGCCCATATATGTATGTATGTGTGTATGCACATATCTATGTGCGTATGTCAATGATGATCTTTAAAGCTTTCTATAGACTTTATAAGGGCGCGCACAGAGTAAGAGCCTGTCTCTGAGCATCACTGCTGTAGATTGGTGTGCATGTTGCGTTGGAAGTTTAGCAACATGTTGCTTGAGGACTGCTACTCTCTCCTTGTGCTCACATCAACATAAACACATTTTTCTTGATATTTCCCTCTCTTCTCAAATGCTAGCAACGTTCCCTATCACTCGCTGACTTTCTTATTTGAATAAAAAGACTTGAGATATCGCTTAGAAGTTACAGAAAAATACAATTATAATAAACAAAACAAAAGTCCTAATCCTGCATTTAAAAAAAAATCGCTTTTATTCTTACAACTTCACAATTGTTCATGTTCATACATATGAGTGCACAAAAAAAGACATTATACAATAGCGTTCTGCTTTAAGCAGCTATTCGCGTAGCTTCTCAGTAACTGGTCTAATCTTGCTTGCTGCTCGCTTATATCTGCAGCACTTAGGACTCGCTACTTGCCTTACTACATATGCATGTAAGTATATGGTTCTGCTTCTCTAATGGCTTTAACCCTCTCGTTCGCATGCTTTGGAGACTTTAAGAGATATATATGTACACCTGCCTTGCTCAATTACTTTCTATCCTATTCTGTCCCGTTTTGTTTTTTTACTCGGACCGCTTTATCTCAACCAGCCTGTACACAATTCCTGTTTGTAAAAAAAAAATGCAATCAAAATTTTGCATTTACGCTTAGCGTCTTTTTCTTCCTTCAGCACTTCTACTTCTCCGTCATACGCTATTCGCTTTTGCCTTTAGCCTACTACTTGAATTCATTATTTGTCTTACAACTAATTTAAATATATATATATATATATGTATTGTATATATATGTATTTATGTATATACTTGTATGCATGTATATAATGACAATTTCTTTTTTCTTATGTATTTACTTCAGCTTTCATCATTTACTTTCTTACTTCGCTTACTTAATCATATATGTATGTATGTGTATATTTGTTTGTATGTATGTATGTGCATGCTGTAGTTTCACCTATTTACATATACAAATGTACTATATTTAATATACATACATATGTTTTCCTTTTCACTTTCCATTTTGTATAGCATATTTATGTAATTATATACTTTACTACATATGCAATATATATGTATAAGATAAGTATATATTTGCTGCTGTTTGTATGTCCAGGCAGACTTATAGGGGCTTTTTTCATGTTTTTTGTTTATCTGTTTATATAATTATTTATTAAGTGGCACGCCTCTTACTCCCTTATGGGCGTTCAACCACAAATTCTTTGTCGTCGTGGTTTAACAGCACTAAATCTATGATGCTTTTATGTACATACAAATATGTATGTGTATCAGAACATCATAATCAATATCACTTGCGCCTTCGTCTCCTTCATCATCATCATCATCATCGCGTTCAACCTGTTTCGTGTTGGTGCGTTGATCGTGATCTTACGTGACGTCGTTGCGTATCAGCCACTACAGATCACGATCGCTCATCGTCAGTTATAATAATTATAATTATTATTATCCTGTATGTTGTAGTTGTAGTAGTAGTAATAATAGTAGTAGTTTAGAAGCAAACTAAAGTCGCTTCACTATTGTGGTAGTTCATCCTTTGTGTCGACAGGGCTTGGTGAAAGAAATTTGCGTACATACTTGGGAAAATGGGTTTTCTCGTGCGCCTTAAGTATGGTCGAACGTGAGAAGGTCTTCCCACACATGTGACATCGGAAAGGTCGTTCACCTGTGCGATTGTGGTGCGGAATTGTGGATCAAGAAGGGATAATGAAGCGAATAAAATCAACTGTCAGTTAAAGAAATTCTTAATTCCTAAGGCGTGCGTAATTGAAGGAGAAATAAATGCAAACAATTTGGTCGAAGGTTGAAAGTAAGAAATTTAAAACTAGAAACACTTGATCTCAAATTTGTGTTTATTTTGTCCAGGGATGCCCTGTACAATACTTATGTAGAATCGCCCGCTGATTCCGAAAATCGAGATCATTTTTTATTATATGGACAAGTTTTCGAGATATTTTCAATTTACCGTTACTCAGCTTAAAACAAAAAGTGTTTCCAATTAATTACGTATATCTTACGAACCAATTTAACAGTTTTAATACGAAACACGGCTAATGAAGGTAACTAAATTTTCCATAAATCGTATGTACATATCGCACATGATCTTCAAAAGTGACAGAACTCAAAACTTGACATTTTTGAAATTACACACTAAAAATGTACACAGAGCCTTTATTTACTTTTCGGCAAAAGCTGGAGTAAAGTCTAGTTATAATTTGTTAAAAAAAACTTAGGTAAAGCCACCCTTGCCCATATGATTAGGATGTGCCGAGAAATAGTTTTTCGCATTTTCTGAAGAACGTGTAATTTTGACTTTTGAAGATCGTGTGCGATACGTACATCACTTTTCGATAAGTCTGATGGTTTCTGAGCAACTAATTAGTAATTCCGATTTCTTTTTGGGAAAGATTAAAAATATTTAAACTTTAAACACGGAAAAAATCAAATAAATAACAGATCCGGTGTCAATTTTTTAAATTTTCGTTAAAGCCTGTTCTGTTACAAAGACATGAAGCTACTAATAAAGAAAATCGATGGATAAATAAAAAAGGTATGAGTGGTCAAATTAAAGTGCTCAAAAAGTTTTTGTATGAAAAAGGAGCAGGAAAAAATGTTATCCATACGCATTTACACTCTTTCCCGCTTATTTTTCATGCAACAAAAAAATACTTCCATTTTCATCTCACTCATTCTTTCATTCATTTTCTTTACTAGTAGCTTGATTTTATGTAAGAAACCAGGCTTTAACAAAAAAAAGAAAAATTACACAGAAATTGTACATTTTGGGTTTTTTTCCTGTTAAATTTGAATTCATATATTTTTTCATTAAAAAAAAAAAAACAAAAATCTGGAATGATTAATTAAATTATCAGAAAATATTAGGCCTACCGAAAAGTGATGTATATACGGTTTAAGGCGGATTTCGTTAGCTTTCATTTGTCATAAAGATTATGCAATTGCTTCTTAAATAAGGGTAAATTGCAAAAGTCTCGAAAACTTAACCTTGGAAAAATAAAATTAACTCGTTTCTCGCAATTGGCGAGCAATTATACATAGGAGTTTAATAGTGGCATGCATGGAACATAATTAGTAAAAAACAAAGGTCATTTAAGGCCCCGTATAATTCATATATTCGCATTAATGTTGGGGATATTTATTAAAATACGCATAAATGGCGCAATCGCGATTTGGATTCTTAGATTAAAGATATTTTGGAGAGAACAGCATATCGATGGCTGAGTGGAAGATCGACCTATCTTGGCAGCCAGTTCGAAAACACCCTGTATCAGAAAAATTTTCAACAACGCCCTATTTCAGAATTTGGTTGAAAAACGCCCTATATCAGCTGCCGATTCAAAAACGCTATGTATTTCGTTTGTATTGTAGTGAGTCACGGCAAAATACAACATAAGCATTACCCGTTGACACACATTCCATTATGGTTAAGCAATTCAACATTGTAAATAAAGCAGCCTAGTGCATGCAGCTAGCACCGTTTGAGATAGGGCGTTATTGAACCGAATTCTAAGATAGGGCATTCTACAACCAAATTCTGAGATACAGTATTTTTCAATAAAATTCTGAAACTGATATCAGCATGTATTACAAAACACCGGATTGTGGACTGTCCATATCACAGGTCCAGGGGTCGAGGCGAAAGTGAGTACCGCTTAATCTCATAGCGAAATAGCTACAGCTGGTACGGTTCTATCCCTGCCAAAGCCCTGTCTACTGCATATATGTATATTGTCGAATACATGGGCTCACCTCAAACTTCGCACAAATTCCCAAGCCGCAAGTGACTGGACTCAAGGAAAGATCCAGTTCTTGCAGAGCTTAACTCTTTTTACTGACGGGTCAAATATGAAATTCGGGTTTAGCGCAGGGGTTTTTATTGAGCACTAAGTTATGCTTTCGCCTATTAAGACTATACAAGCGTTTTCCAGGCCGAAGCGTTTTTAAATAAGGAGGCAGTAAGGTACATTAAAGAAAATATACTAAGCGGCTATTTAGGTAATCCCTTCTACCTCGGTTAGATCTCAACTAGTGGATGACCGTAGAAGAGAGCTGACCTATATTTCTGATCAATATGAAATTACCATAATATCGGCCCCGTGACATGGCGCCATTTACGGAAACGAGGCAAGGTGTGTCACACGCGGTGGATATGGGGGCCTCGTTCAGGGATATCAAAGGAAAAATCATCGAAATTTATCACTCGAAGGCCAGGCAGAGGTGAAACCGTACAGGATTGTAGAGGTTATACCGGCAGTTCTGGGTGTTTTACGACCCACCTAAAACCAAAGCTCTCTTAGGGACGAGCAAAAAAGATACCTACAAATTGGCCCCTTGGGGTACATGCCAAAACCATTAGATTACCCTTCAACAGGTTCTGTCGAAGTTTCGATGGCCCTGGCGCAAAAGAGACATACGATGCTGCCGAAAATATCTACACCATTTCTGTTTTGATGATTTGTATGCGATGTATGCAAGAGCTGAGGTGAAGCACTTTGGCAGGAGGTGAGGTAGGCAGGCACGCCCCCCCGTGAGCCTGGGGGTCGGGCGTGTTTCCTGCGGGCCCGGATCTTTTCCGAAAATAAAGTTATAAGATAGAAATATTTGAGAAGGGGCGGCACATATATTTAGTACAGGGCCCTGGTTGTCCAGACGCAGCTTTTGACGAAAAGAACAGAAACTGGCGCAGATTTGATTCTCAAACCACCTCAGACGAATTACTCGACCGTAGGGAAGGTATGCGACAATAGGAGGTTTAATTGGGTTATGGTTACTGATTTCTCCTTCAAATATGCACTCCTTAGTGTATATAGACTACATAAAGATATAAGATTTTCAAATACAAAGTTACAAAGCTACTTACCCGTATGGACGCGACAATGATCTTTCATATGATGACGCAGTTTGAACGCCTTGCCACAGAATTCACACTTGAATGGCCGTTCACCCGTATGCACTGGCAGATGCGTAATCAGCGTTGTCACATCGGGAAAACTTTTGCCACAGAACTTGCACAGTACAACACCATTCGGATCGGCACCACTCGCTGATGGGCCGAGCAGCGAACCCGACGTGGAGGCCGCAGCTGCTGCTGCCGCCGCCGCCGCGGCCGCCGCTGCAGACGTCGAAGAGGACGACGAACCAGCGCCGCTCAATACCAAGCCGCCACCGCCACTACCCGCTGGTGAGCCACCAATGCCGCCATTCCCCGATGACGAGCAGCCACCACCGGCGCCACCATGACCCATCCGACCACCACCACCGCTGCCGTCGAGATCAAGTGCGCCACGCGCGCCAACACTACCGCATGTGGCCGCCATAACAGCGGCAAAGTCCAGTTCCATGGCGGCAGCTACGACAGCCGCAGCCGCCTGTTCCTGAGTTTCCGCGCCGCTGGCCGCCAATGCGGCGGCATTCATTTGGTACGAAGTGAATTGTGGCAGCTGCGCCATATTGAGGTCGTGCGACAACAGATGCGAATGCAAGAGCGGGTGCTGTGCCGTTTCGCGATACTCCAGCGTTTTTAGCGAGTGCGAGAGTATGTGCCGCGTTAGCTTGCTTTGGTGCTGGAATGTGTGACCGCAGTACATGCAGGGGTAAAGGGGTGGCGGTGTTTGCGATTGGTCGAGATGGTGGGACGAGGTGGAGGCCGCCGAGGCAGCAATGGCTGCGGCCGCAGCGGCGGCAGAGGTGGAACACGAGGCAGTGCCACCGCTAACGCCACCACCGCCGCTGCCAATGCCGCCAGCGCTGCCGCCGCCGCAGGCAGGGACAACGTGTGGCGAATCGGACGTTTCCTGGAACAACACCAAACAAAAATCCAACATCAACTTCTTTCTTACTACGCTTTGGCGTTTTGGGCTTTGCTTTTCTTTTGTTCACGTTTCGTTTTCGTTTTTGCTTTCGCTTTGACTTTTTTGTTCGGTTTCAATTTTAAACTCTCTTTTATAGTTTAAGGAAAATAGAAAAAAAGTTATATATACGAGTATAAGTTGATCAATTAATTGCCTTTCTTCGTTTTCTTTGTCTGAGGAAAAGAACTTCGCTTAAACGGCGTAACTTGCTCTAAAATATTTTACTCATTCGTTTTGTTTTTTATATGTTTTCAAACTAAAATGAAATAGTAAAAGTATAAAAATGAAGATTCACTTGCTTGTGTAAAGTGAAAAAAGAACGAAAGAGAAAAAAATATATGTGATACAAAAACGGTATTTCGCAAATATGAAAATAACGTTCCAAATTCAAAACGGCAAATTAAAAAACTCAAATGAATCAAATGACAATGAGAACTCAAAGAGGAAAAGGAGAAGATGGAAATTGTTCAGCAATATTTTTATATTAGCCAGTTGGGTCGCTTGAAGTTGAAACAAAGAAAAAATCAAATTTAAAAATTACGCTTTATGATGATCTAAAATACTTTAAAATATATATTTTTTGTTGCAAATCTACTAATATTTTCTGTTAGCTGCATTTTAAATTATTATTTTTTTCAAATTATTTTATAAACAAATTTTGCCAAAAAACAAGAGGGGCTTTTCAGCGTTGACTTTAGAGCGCTTGGCATTTGTCGAGTCTTTATTGACTCGTTGCTCTAAATTATCTCTCTCACTTTTTCTCTTTCTCTCTACCGCGCTAATTTCTATTTCTATCTTCCACAAGTCCTCAAGCGG